CCCATATTATGGGTTTTTGAAAATTCTCCTCCATGTAGTGTGTAACAGCTCTAAGTGAAGTGAAGTATCCAGCTAAGGCTTAAATCTGTAAGAATACAGTGTTTAAAATGGTTGATTCATCTATATCGACTATCGACTCATAGTGCTTCAAACGAGTCGCCTTGATACCGAGTCATTAGGTGTTTTGCCATGATGTATGAACGAAACCAAGTTATTCACGTGCACGCGCAAACCCGGGAGATTTTAAACCTGAGGCCCGGCCCTCTGACGCAGAAACCCAGACACACACACACATCCACAAACACACGCACACAAACATGCCGATCGATTGAAGTCATACTGCAGAGGGATATTATCGAGGGTCTACCCAAAGATGAAACATCAGCATTATAACCAAGCAGTTGGAAACTACTGGAAACTTCTGGAAACTACATGCTACAAAGAATACTTCATCTGCGTTTGTTAAAGGAAGGATCAGTAAAGAGTAAGTTAACTTACTGATGGGCGTCAGGATGGGTTTCTTCCTCCATTTCTCAAGTGTAAGTAAGTGCGATTTAAGTTGTTGCCTCGTTGACTCTAGCTTGCAAATGTATTTAGTTGTGATTTGTTACTTGTAACCGCGTGTACTGTATCAGGTTAACTGGCTATATTCTCTTATCGCGTGCAAAGTCAAATTAAAAACGCGACACGTGCTGCTTTGTTTACGGAGCTCCATGGTAGAGGTCTGCATTCCCGCGGCTGTCCCCGCGCCAGATTTCTGCGGCACGGGAATAAATTTCCGAATAAATCGCAGGAGCGGTCGGTAACGGGTTTAATTTGGGACGGGAGCGGGCTGTCTAGCAATATCACGGATTAGAGAGAGAGGTTTGCCTGTGTGTCTGCTTGATGCTTGTGTGTGTGTGTTAGTGCACACGCGTGCGTTTGAGAGAGAGCTTTGTCTGTGTGTGTGTGCCTGGTGCTGTGTGTGTGTTTATACAGACAGCTTGGCTATCTGGACTGTATAGCTGGGTGATTTTTGGTTTTGTTCTCCCCCGCTCTTTAGCGGGATCGGGCGCGGTGGGCAGAAAACGGGGCGGGGCGGGTCGGGCACCGGGACAACAAATTCTTAATATAAGCGGGATCGGTCGGGTTCAGGCTAAAACCTGGCAGGTGAGGGTGGAAGCGGGAGCGTTGTCGTCCGGAGGTGTGTGTTTGTTTTTGTGTGTGTATGGCAGCTAAAATCCACGCCTACACTATCGAGCGTGTATGAACTGTGAATACTTTTTATATTGCTGATTAGCTATTGGGCATTTCACTTTCTGACTGAAGGCAGTCGACCAATCGCGACAGACTGTCATTGGTCCAATCAGCGCAGATTAGCTTCGCGCTAAGGAGGGGTTTGGGAACAAATGAATCACTGGATGATTCATACAGGAGTCGCTGGGATAATTAGGTAAAAATAAATGCAGATTATAAGACCATGAAAGTGTTTTTTGGCCTTGCATGCATATTAGACTGTTGTTGGAGACCCTTACAACCAAGATATGACCCTATTTCATGTATAATATGGGCTCTTTAAATGCAATGATTTTCAACTTGCTATTATGGAACTAATTTAAGCGTGGACATTTAGTTCGGCTCATTAAAGTCAGGTTTTTAACTTTAATCTCTGCTTTTCTTAACCACTTTTATAAAACAGTCCCAGCTGTTAAAGCAACAGTCATAATATTATTGCATACAATAAATATCACACCGCTTTAGACGTCTATTTGAGATAAAGCATTTAGGGGGAAAAAAAAAAAGCTTCACTCACCCCATCCAATAGCGAAATCTGGCTCTGGGTGAGAAGTCTTTTGCTTTACCACCAAACCTTAAGAGTGAAGGTCCACATGGACATTCTCTGAGGAGGACAACAGAAGAACATCAGGATTTACATACTTTATGTACTCTGACACTTAAACTAGTGTCTGAAATTACTTACTTGATTCTCTAATCTCTATATAGTACATGTTGAGAGCACTTTATCATCAAGGAGTGAATAAAATGAAGCAGGGAATTTTAATACCGATGTATTATAATCAGTCGGAAGGCTCATGGGTTGTCGAAAACATATTTCACCATTTTACATTGGTTTATTTTTGCAAAAATGCCTCAGCATTATAGCCCAGCCTTGTGCAGTTCGAGTGCTTCTGGAATCTACACATTACGGAGAATTCATCGGCCATTTGTTCAAGGTCACCGTCAGCTGTTCCTACACACGTGCAGTAGAGCTGCACGATTCTGGGTAAAATGAGAATTGCGATTTTTTTGCTTAAAATAAAGATCACGATTTTCTCACGATTCTGTTGATGTAAAATAAAGGTATGGTAAAATTAAACATATGGCAAAACATCAATATTAATATTATGTGTAGGTCTACTGGCTTCTATAAATAATTATATTCTACTTATAAGAAATTTGATGTTGAATTATTATGTTCAAGATGTATGCTTGCAATCTGTCATATTATACAATTTTATTCACTGGTAAAATCAGACATTTGCCCTTATCAGATTATATTTAACAATATATAGGCTAGAGTAGTTATACTGACATTGTAAACAAAAAAAATTGTGTCCGCTATGAACGAAAAAACATATCAAATGCTTGTCGTAATCATAACTCTTAAATGCGATATGACCATTTAAATGACGTGCACACTTTCGGTTTCATTTAGACTGCTGCTTGTTCATACTTCGCTTGCGGCTCCCAAACGATCACTCTATGCCACAAACTGAATATTATTTACAACTGTATTACCTGTTATTAGCAACATATGCAGGTTCTATTCACTAAAGTAGACGCCCTCTCTATGATTACAGCTCATGGTCAGCAGCTCATGTCACGTGTGATTTTCCAGCAGCAAAAACATCATTATATGAAGACAAAAATTGCATTTTTAGGTGAATTATACCTTAAAAACACAGTATGTGACTCATTCAACATCATTTAGAGGTGTCCATGTGACTGAGCTACTTATGTGAAACAATGAAAAGACTCGTGCAGCTGCCTTTTTTTCTCTTCTGAACTTGAAAATATGATTGACAGAATCGTAGAAATGCTGGATTAAGATCGTCTAGGGGGTCGAATCGAGATCGCGATCTTTTTACGATTAATTGTACAGCTCTAACGTGCGGCAGTCAAGGTTCAGATTTGTTCTTTTGCCTCTGTGTGGATTAATACTGAATGTGTGTCACGGTTAGGAATAGAACTATATGCTGGAGTTTAACTGCACACATACCTGCCAACATCTGTCCCTGAAAACCTGGGAGACCAGAGGGTTAGGTTCGGGGTGAGGTGCCTGAATAACACTCAGGGCTGGAGCAACCTGAACTGGTGCTCTAGGCGAACGCCGATCACGCTGCCCTCAACCCGTTTTATGTATTTGTGTTATTTGTGCTCTGTTGCTCTGTATTTTTTCTCCTCTCTCTCTCGCTCTGTTCTTCCATATCTACTTTTATTATTCTCAGGCTCTGTTCATTGGTCCATTCAGCTGTCAGTCATTCCTTCCCGGTTACGTCACTCTTACGTCACATCCAATAAGCAAAGACCACCCGTCATAAAAGCGTGCGTCAGACCACTCGCTGGTCCCTTGATTTCTCTCTCTCTTGACTTCAGTTACTCTGCTTTTTCTGCTTGTTTCTGTTATTGCGTGCATTTAGAAATAACCCCGTCTAACTGTGTATTTTGTTGTGTGCATGTTATTTGTCTGTTATTCGTACATCATTCTCAGTTTACATTGTTTACGAGGCTTGGACGAAGCAGACAGGTTAGAAGGTCACGTGACATACATTTTGCAACACTTAGGACTACTCTGCTGTTTAGTACATTAGGTTAGAGGCGAGCGCCACTCCTTGTACTTTTTGGATAGCTAGATAGAGTAGATAGTTAGGACTCGGAAGATCTTTGCGTGTTTATTATACTGTTTTCACATAGTTAGTTAGATAGATGCTTCTGGGAAGTTAGATTTAGGTTTGGTTTTATTCTTTTAATTTCTTTAGCGCCGCCTGCGTCCCTTCTGCCAGCTCTCTTGTTTTTTTCTCGTCTTTATTTGTCTCAGTGTTGTAAATATTGTAAATATTATATTTTTAGCTTACTTACTTTTTCTTTATTTTGAATTAATCAAAGGGTTTGTAACACCCGAAAGTGAAAAAGAAAGTGACCGGTTCACGGATGAAAGTGAGGACCAGGAAGTTTGCGGATGGCGTCCTTACTATTCTGCCTAGGTCGCCTCTATGGGCGCGCCGGCACTGATAACACTGTTGAGAACTGGGTACTGTGTACTATGGTGTTAGTAACTACTATGAAGCGTGTCACAGGCGGCCGCTGTGTTTGGAATATGGGAGAATCCTGGAAAAAACATGAGCGTTGACAGGTATGCTCACACATACACTATGCACTGTGACTACAATATTGTTGATAAGCCATGCTGGGCATTTTACTCTGTCTCACGCTGAACACTGTCGACCAATCGCAACAAACTGTCATCGGTCCAATGAGTGCAGATTAACTTCGTGCTAAGGAGGGGTTTGGGAACAAATGAATTGCTGAACGATTCATATGGAGGCCGCTGGGATAATTAGGTAAAAGTAAATGCATATTATAAGACAATGAAAGTGTTTTTTTGACATTGCATGCATATCAGTATGTTGTTGGAGATCCTTAAAACCAAAATATGACCCTTTTTAATGCATAATAAGGGCTCTTTAATAGAAAGAAATATACTTTATTAGTTGAATGTTATTGACTTCTGGGAGAAGTTAAATGTGCAGTAATTAACCACAATTTTTTAAACTGTTTCATAAAAACAAATTGTTATTTGGATACTGAATGACAGTACAACCATAATATTATATCATAGATCATTTTCATGTTACATGATCATTTTTACAATCTACTTGGCCTTAACTCCTAGTAAAGAAGTCAACTAAAAAAAGTAAAAACGAAACAAATCAAACACCCCATTTAAACACCTCACTTACTTTGAATGGAGTTTCTCCCATCTCAGGATTTCTTGCCAGGCTTGTTCATTATTCTGATTGTGAATCTTGATGATGTCCCCCATATCGTTCTGGTTTATGTCATCTTTGTTCCAGCGCCATCTGGTGAAAGTTTCAGTCATGAGCAATGAACTTGGTAAATGTTACTCTAATTTACAACATCATTTTATTCATGCAAATTTTTGAAAAAAGTTAAGGGATGACATTTCTGTTTGGTTACGATTAGAATATGAAATACCTGATTTTTATTTTAAGACTATTAATTATTTATCTTTTAGTCAGAATTCTGATCTGGAATTTTCAGTTAAAAATATTGTTATGATGGCAAATTTTTTCATTCATAAATGCAGATTTTAAATGGTCGAGCAGATTTTCGCAGATTTATAGCCCATCATTGATTCTGTTTATTTACTTATGTACATGTGTGTAAATTTATATTTATTCAGTTTTTAATTAATTTTAGTTATATTCTTGACTAACATGAAAATATTCATATGATTTATGTACAATACAGTTTGTACAGTAATATTTATGTCTTTTAGTAGATTTATTATATGAGAAACTTGCTTTGTTTGACAAATAAACTGGATCTAATTGGATTTGTATTGTAAACATGAAATAAAAGTAAAAAATGTAAAAATGTTTTTATTTCATATATTAAGGCTTTAGTAAAGATAATACCAAAATCATTCCACATAAATCCACAGATTTTTACCAAACTCTGTGCAGAAATAGCAAAAAATGTCCGCAGATTCCATCTGGCCCTACTTGAGAGACATGAAAAGCCCCTAAACTATGTAGTCTGTTAAAGGCATTTTTTTGATGATTAACTCCTTTGTATTATATTATATTGTATGGTATTTTGCAATTTATTTATATTTATTTGTTTTATTTATTTTTTGTGGATGCTGCTATTTGGGCTTTCTAGTTGATTAAGATGTCTGTATGATTGGTTTTTTTTTTCTGTATGTACTTATAAAGAATTAATAATAATAAAAAAAGTACAACATCATTCAATAATTTTTAGATGCATGTTAGAGTGCATGTACATTCAAGAAAGTATAATAAAAAGATCTCTGCTGCTGCATCTAGTTTCTGTCACACATTGTTTTGTCCCCTTAAAATCAGCATGAAATGAAAACAAACTTCTTATTTTTATATGTATAAAGTGTGGCTTGATATAAAAGATGCACTTCGTTGTTTTGTAAAAAATGTATTTGCCTCCATAATTATAATCATAATATTTTATCATATACTATTTATCAAATAATGTTCCCTTCTCCCCTCGAAACTAATTTCCTTTACTTCTGGTCACATGGAATGTCATTCAGGTGGGGTTGTCAGTGCATGTTTCGCTTTTGTCAACTTTCCTCCGTTTTGTTAGCACTGCCTATCTTACAATTAATGATGGGACGTTCAGATCATTTTACTGATTTTTTTTTTCTTTACTGGGGGGTGGAGTATTCAGTTGTTTCATTTAATTTGCCAAAATATTATTCAAATGTTACAAGTTGCTTCCGGCAGCACGGTGGTGCAGTGGGTAGCACAATCGCCTCACAGCAAGAAGGTCACTGGTTTAGGCCCCCCCTGGGTCAGTTGGCATTTCTGTGTGGAGTTTGCATGTTCTACCTGTCTTGGTTTTACTCGCTGTCTTAGTTCTGCATGTCGACTCCCTTTGTTTCAGCAGTGCTGTAGATTAAAATCTATGGGAATTAGGGCTTTTTCTTACTGTGCACCTACATTATGGAATGCATTATCCATAATTATCAGGATTGCCAATTTTCTGGATTGTTTTAAGAAGCTTATTTTAAGCAAAGCATTTAATTTGTGATCATCACTGTCACTTTTGTGCAATTTGTAACATGTTACTTATTGTTTTATTACTGGGGTATGACTTCTGGCTTGTTGCTGGGAGCTTATGCAATCTTGTAATTCTCTGCATTTGTATTTGTTATTGTATATCTTGTAGCGCTTCAATTTTAAGAAATAAAATAAAATGTATTATTATTATTATTACAGCTACAACTAACCCAAATATTGATCACACTATAAACAAGTCACAACTAGAATGCTATAAGAAAGAGAAAATGATCATTTATTGTTTAGCTTGTGATTAGCTCTTCTGACATGTCTTTAAATTTGAGACATTCGTTCACGTGACACTGACGGTACCAAATAAGCTTAACCAACACAATCTGAACCGAAAGGATTAGTTCACCTTTTGAGTCTTCAGGGTCTTTGAGTCATTTAGTCACCAGAAAGTTGTCATGTAGGCTTACTATATCACAAATGTTCTGAAGCCATTCTACAGTTTAATGTGAAGTACAGATGAATATTCAAGGGGTTTAATTTATATTCAGTTAAGCCCTTGACTCTGTTGCGCCTATCGATCATTCTCCATTCATTCACAATTCAAACTTCGTGTCGCGTTGTCTTATGAGAACACGAAAAAACTCTCCAAGACTATTTGTTCCTGTTAATATAATCAATCAATCAATCAATCAATCAATCAATCAATCAATCAATCAATCAAGCCTTTATTTGTCACTACACTTTCCTGTAGCGAAATTGGACCCCCCAGACCATACACAAAACATCACAAACAACTTTTCAGGGGAGACAGATCTTAGGAGGTAGCATTTAGAAACGAAGAAAGATACATTTGGACAGTTAGGCTAAAAAACACCCCCTCAGCTTGCCCTTGATTAGGACAAAGTGAGAAAAGGGAGAAAAACAGCCCTATCTTAGCATAAGCACACCGGCAAGACACAACATAGACAGAGGGGATGGGAACAGGGGTAATGGAAAACAGTCCATTGAGTACGGGCAGCCAACTGGTCCAGCAGCCATTTCCGGCGCAAGTCACAGCCCCGCCCACACCCCACGTGGGTAAAAGCACACGAAGGCGTTTGGATGGGGATCGGTGGTGAATGTTTATCTGTAGATATGTTTGTGTGTGTGTGTGAGCCTGCATAGTCCAGAGTCCCGCAGGTGTCCTTGACAGGGGCAGGAATTTCAGAGCGTCCGCTTATCTTGCTTATCCCAGGGAGTTGTTTACTTCCAGCCGAGGCCGTCTGGCAGGAGTAAGAGGAGAGCCGAAAAAAAGACAGTAAGATACTTCCACTTTAGGTCAATATCTGCCAATTTCACAGATATTTAATGTTCATCACTCGTCTCCCAATCTGGCCAAAATTTGTTGCAGAGCCGCTAGCTTCACCTCGATGGTTTCCAGTTTGCGGTTGTGGAAATATAAATTTCTATCATCTAATTCCAAATGAACAATAATCTACGTATAACTAAAAAGTTATATTCTCTGGTTTTTAATTATATAATTTCATTAACATCCCAGCTAGGAAGGACATTAACCTTTTGCCTTGCTGACAACAGGCTAAGCCAAAGTGATGCAATTATCAGTTTCACAGCATGGGGTGTCTATTGTTTTCTCTTTTCGATCAAATGGTCAGGCGGTTTCTGTCTCCAGAACATGATGAGATCAATGCCTGAAAGAGCAGTTTACCCTGCCGACCACAACGCTTAATTTGCATACTTTGTTAAGCCAAATCCCCTCCTCCAAAGAACACAATATAGCCATGAAATCTTTGTCTTAATTCAGACTAATTCAGACTTGTGTGAGACTTGTGAGAGACTTGTGAAAGAACTTGCAGACTGCGGACCTCTAGTAGGCTCTTGCAGACACATTGGACGCATCTTGAAGACGCTGTATGACTGCAGATTAACCAACACGTCTCAATAAAGGAATTCTGCTTGTTTCGAGTCTCCTGGACTGGGTTCTCTCTTCTCTTCTTTTTCACTCATTCATTTCTTTTTTTTTACAACAACTTGGTGCCGTCACCCGGATAGAAACTGAAATCATCAAATTCTCAACAATTTGCTACAAAAGACTGAAATCTACCTGAAATTCAACTTGAACCTTCAAGATCAAGGAAACTTCTTCAGACAGAATCTTGATGCATGCATTCGCAAAAACAATGTGAAAGGCATTATCTGCTGCTACAGAGAATTCAGTTTATCTCGAGCTAAACAACAAGCTCAAGCTAAATCAGAATTAGAAAAACAGATCCAAGAGCTTCATGCTAAGATAACCTCATTAACAAAACAACTGAACCTCAAGAAATCAAAAACTGACATTGAGGAGGTTAGTCAGCCTGATAATACACATCCTGACTTACAAATTGTCTCTGAAACAGACATTTCCATCCAGTCAGATAGCGATTTACCTATAGGCTCAGTAGAGGTTTGTGGTGCCAGAAGATCTAAGAGAACTGAGAGTTCACACAACAACACTTCTGTTGTTCAAATTCAAACAGTTTCCAGAACACTAGGACCTAGAGAAATAGACAGATTGTCTCAAAGCTTACCATCAGCACGCACAAATTTTTCAGAGTTTAGCAGAGCACTAATCAGCAAAATGCGTCTTTATGACTTGTCATTAACAGAAGTCACCCAGCTAATGTCTCAAATTCTCACTGAATCTGAATTCAACAGTTTTGAGCATACTGTGACCTCTAAATTACAACATGCCAGTAAGGATGATTTGAGAGAGGGTGTTTTGAAAGCTCTAAAGAACATTGTTGGCCCAAAGATCGACTGGTCAAAAGTGACTTGTTGTGTGCAAAGGAAAGATGAATCTGTGAGTGAATTCACTGAGAGATTTTGTCAATCCGCCATAACTTACAGTGGATTAGCTGATAATTCGGACAGTGTGCTAAATGATAAGGGACCCCTAGTCCGCATCTGGTCAGATGGCCTTGCAACTGAATACAGAAAAGCTTTGCCATTTCTTAACATCACCTGGTCTTCCACCACTCTCAGAAATAATATGAACAGTTTAGCTTTGTGGGAAAGAGACTCTTACATCAAAGACAGAGTCAGATTTGAAGCAGCTGCCACTAAGGTCAACACAGAAAAGACATCAAATCACAAATGTCTTAGGAAAAATATCTGTTGTCATTACTGTGGTAAAAAAGGACATTGGATGAGGGAGTGTAGAAAGAATAAAAAGAACTTTAAAGAGATGAACAGAGTAAATCAACTTCTGAACAGTTTGCTAAATGCCCTCAACATACCCCTCCCCTCATCAC